CCTCTGCCCCCCGGCTGCTGGGGCCAGGCCAGCCGGCCCCTGGACCCCGAGCCTCACCGGCAACATGGCTGCCAGGAGCAACCAGGCCTGTTCCAGACCCCAGTCTCCTCTCCCTCGGCTCAGCCTCTCTCTCCACATCCGCAGCCTCATGGCTCCCCTGGCCTCCTCCTGCCTCCTCTGCCCTGGCTGCCCCTCGGCCCTACGACGATTACTGCACCTTCTGACCAACTGTCCCCGAGCCCGACCCCATCTGCCTCGCCCCCTGGCTCCAGCTTATTGGCACCTTCCTCCAAGCTCAAAGCCCCCCTGCCCCACTCATCAGCCCACCCTGCCCCTCAGCAGCCCCGTGGGCCGGAGCACCTCAGCCGGGGGAAGCTGGTGCCCTCACCGCTCGGCCCCTCGGCGGCCCTGGGGCCGGCCTGTCTGCAGGACATGGAGCACAGGCCCGCTTTCTCGGCAGCAGACCAGCCCGGGCTGAGTGTGGACCTCGGCCCGCACCCGCTCCAGGCCTTCCCCCTGCTCTCCTCTGCGCAAGTCCACTTCTAACCCGGCCCCTGGAGCTGGGCCGGCCCTTCCTCAGGCTCGGGAAGCCGCCATGGCACCCAGAATCTCCTCCATGGCCCCCGGAGGCTGCCCTTCCTGGCTGACCAGCTGGCCCAGGAGTGCCCCAGGGAAAGGAAGCCGTCACTGTGCCCGCCACCGACCAGGCCCTGTCACCACCGCTGTCCTATCTCAACTTCATGGTCAGCCTGCAAAGTCCAGATGGTCACTTTTTCAGAGAAGGAGACAGAAGCTCAGAGAAGGCCGCGACATGTCCAAGGTCACACAGCCTTTCTTGGGGCCTAAAACGCCACCATCTGCCCCTTCCTCTGCTGGTGGGATCCTGGCCCAGGCGCCTTAGGGGCTGAAGTCCCAGCACTGCAGGCTGGTGTGAAGATGTCTAAGTGCTGGGAGCAGGGAGGAGTCTCCCTTCCGCCTTGTGATTCCCAGGGCCGCAGAGCGCAGCATTCCCGAAACCTTGTCCTAACGAGGAGGTCCGGAGTCCAAGCCTGGGTGGGGAGAAGCCTGGAGGGAGCCCGGAAGGGACTCTTTCTTCCTCTAGCAGGGTTTTCAGTTTCAGAACTGAACCTGTGGGGGGAGGGGGGTTGGGGAGAAGCCCGGAACAGTCTCCCCTGGGGTTTCTGCAGGCGAGGTGCCTATCGCCATACTGAGGCCTGGGGAGATTCTGCAGGGTCAGCTTTCCAGGCTCTTCCCAAATGCTTCCTTGCCTCCCTCCTGCCCCCGAGGCCACGTGGCAGGAGGGGGGAGGGGGATGATGTACTAGAGAGCCCTGCACATGGTGCACAAAGGGCCGGAGGAAGGAGGGAGGGAAGGGCCGGGTGCAAGGTGATGTTTAAGCAAGTGCTGGACCTGAACCTGGCAGTAGTGAGACCCGTGTCTTCTTCAGCACCACCCCCATCCTTGTGCAGCCCCCAGGCCCCTCTGATCAGTGACCCTCACTGTTCTTTGGTCTGATGGCTCCTGGAAGAACAGGGATGGGGACCAGGCTGGAGCTCAGCTGCGGTGTCTGCTCCTGGGGTTCTCACTCAGACCCAGGACAGACACTGTGAGGGGCTTCAGATGAGAAGGTCCCACTCTTCGCCCAGATGTTCAGCAGACACTACGCTAGCAAGTGTTACACACACTCCAGGACGCTGAGCCTAAGTCGCCGCACGTTGTTATGGTAAATAAAGTGTTTTCTGATTCCTTTTGCTCTGGCTAATGGTTTAAAGCTCTGCTTGTACTTCCTACTATTGAAAACAAAGGGCCTCTGAAAGAAGAGGGAATTGTCTAGAGCAGCCGTTCTCAACCGGTGGGTCGCGACCCCTTTGGGAGTCCAACGACCCTTTCACAGGGGTCGCCTAAGACCATTGGAAAACACATATATAATTACATATTGTTTTGTGATTAATCACTATGCTTTAATTACGTTCAATTTGTAACAATGAAATTGGGGGTCACCACAACATGAGGAATTGTATTAAAGGGTCGCGGCATTAGGAAGGTTGAAAACCACTGGTCTAGAATCTTAGGGGTGGGCACTCCCTCATGGACCTTGTAATCTAACCCCCCTCCCATATTTCAGATGAAAAAACTGAGGCCCAGAGATGGGATGGACTTGCCCAAGGTCACCCAGCAAGCGTAGGTGCGATGGTCACAGGATTGTGGGTGGCAGCAGAGCTGGGCCACCAGAGGGACCAGAGTTGATATAACGCACATGGACCAGGACTCGATGGGGGATGAGGATACCAGGGTCTGACTTGTGTCTCTATACCTGAAATTTGTCAGGCACCTGCTTGTCTTACTTGGGTTAATTCAGTGGCACCGCTAATGACACTGTTCAGAAGGGGAAACTGAGGCCCAGGGGAGTTAAGTACCAAGTTCAAGGTCACACAGCTAGGAAATGGCATAGAATTGATGCAACATCAGGACCATATGGCCAGAGGCAATCTTGCCTCCCCATCTTCTCCCTGTAGGCCCTGCATGCAGGGGCAGCCACAGGCTGATAGACATGACCCTAGAACCGTGGTTGGCAAACTGCGGCTCGCGAGCCACATGCAGCTCTTTGGCCTCTTGAGTGTGGCTCTTCCACAAAATACCACGTGCGGGCGCGCACATACAGTGTGATTGAAACTTCGTGGCCCATGCGCAGTAGTCGGTATTTTGTGGAAGAGTCACACTCAAGGGGCCAAAGAGCTGCATGTGGCTCGCGAGCCGCGGTTTGCCGAGCCACAGTTTGCTGACCACTGCCCTAAAAGGTCTAAGCCTTCCTTAAGTTTATCACAAATAAGCGAGGGGTGTGACTAAATTAGCATTGGTACAGTCATATGATGATGACTGAAGAGGTCCTAAGAACAAAGGATGCTTTGAAGAATATTTAATGAGATGAGAAAACGCTTTAACATATTAAGCAAAAAAAAAAAAAAAAAAAAAAAAAAAAAAAATAGAATGTGCAACTGTCACTATAGTCTGATATTCTGCTTATTTAAAAAATATAAACTGAATCGAAGAATTGGTGGAGGTAGTGTCGCTTTTGGAGGGATATGTGCTAATGTCTGTGAAGCCCCGATTTGTAAACACAGCCATCACCATTGCCGGAGCCTTCCACCTGCTCAGATAGATGGGAAGAGTCTGTATCCGAGTGCATCTATTGCTACATAACAAATTACTCCAAAGCTTATCCTCTCACATTTCCGTGGGGGCAGGAATCTGGGCGTGGCTTCGCCGGGTGCCTCTGGCTCAGGACACAGGCTCCAACCAAAATATTGGCCAGGGCTGCAGCCACTCGAAGGCTCGACTGGGGAATTCAATTCTAAGCTCTCTGTGAGGGCTGTCTGCAGGCCTCAGAAGGTCCACGTCCAAGCTCGCTTACAAGGTTGGTGGCAGGATTCTGCTCCTTGCGGGCCGTTGGACTGGGGAGCTCAGGTTCTTGCAGGCTGTCGGCTGGAGAGGTAAGCTCCTTACTGCGTGTGCCTCTCCACACGGCAGCGCCACATGCAGCTGGCTTCTCTAAGCTGGCGTGAGAGCAAGGAGAGGTGAGCACATGGAAGCCACAGTCTCTTTGTGACCTAATTTCAGAAACAACATCCTGTCACGGTGACTGTATTCCACCAATAGAGGCCAGTCACTGGATCCAGCCCCCACTCGAGGAGAGAGGGTTACACAAGGACACAAAAACCAGGAGGGGGTCGGGGCATCCACCCTGGGTGAGAACCAGCACTTCCTTGGGTCCTTCTTTTCGATTTAGCACCAACACTAGCAGCTGGCTTTTTTTGAGGGAGCCATTTTTCAGAAGGGAACAACTTTGTCCCCTCTCCAGCAGTGGCAATGCCCCCGCAGTGAACAGAGAGGAACTGGTGGGTTTGGGGCTGAGAAGTCCACCCCCCAACTCCTTCCCTAGAGACACACAGCCTCAAATTAGCCTTGCAGCAAGCACAAGGCAGCCACTGTCTCCTCAGAACCACCTTTGAAGTCACGCATGGACAGTCAGGGCTGAAATTGCCAGTATGCGCAGGCCAAAAAGTCTTCTATGCTTTGAAAAGTAATCACTCAGCCCTGGCTGGTTTGGCTTAGTGGATAGAGCGTCGGCCTATGGACTGAGGGGTCCCGGGTTCGATTCGGTCAAGGGCATGTGCCTTGGCTGCGGGCACATCCCCAGTGGGGGGGTGTGCAGGAGGCAGCTGATGGATGTTTCTCTCATTGATGTTTCTAGCTCTCTATCCCTCTCCCTTCCTCTCTGTAAAAAATCAATAAAATATATT